TGTTCGGATATATTAAGAATAAATATGTGAAAAAATCTGAAGATACAAAAATAATATCACTATATGCAAAAGAATATATGCAATGTGGCGACAACGAATACACCCACAGTTTATCGCTTAGTATACCAGATCACGTCGAGCTCACTAATCGAAGTGTCATGGATGTTCAAGGCTTGACAACGCTGTTGTCTGTAACACATTTACAGTCGAGGATCTCAAACCCATTTAAACCAGAAACCAGTATTGAAACTATTCTGTCTATAACGTTTTAATCATAATAACAGGTTATCAATTAGCTCTTAATGACATAACTTGGGCCACTTCATCAGCTCCCTACAGAATAAACTTCTGTGAAAATGTTGCGTCAATCAATTTAAAAATAAGCATATCAGTTTTATGTTTTTAAATAATGATCTCACCGTACGGACAGTTTAAAGTAATCAATCTTTTTTATGAATTTTGATAGATCAATGGGAAGACGGAGTTGATTTGAAAAACGTGCCGTGTTTGCGTTATACATTTCGAACAATCTGGTCACATCTATAGTTGTTAGGTCATTTTAGAAGAAAATTAATATCGGTCAATTAAATAAGAACTTAAATAAACATAAAGTGGTAATTGTAAATAACTAAAGAAAAAAATTAATATAATATGGAGAGAATAGAGAACTGTTATATTACCGTAAGGCATTGAACGTCTTAAAGATTACCAAAGCAAATTCAAGGTTACGACAAAGTGTTTCTGTACACATAAAGAGGATTAAGTTTGTGAATAGATAAGGCTTCTATAAATCTAAGTATTTGTTCTTGACAATTTTTTTGTAACGTTTCAAAAACTGTGTTGATATTTGTTCTATGGCAAGTTTCAGTTATTGTTTTATTACTGATGAGCATGGCTTTTTTTTCTTCTCATGTTAATTGGAAAACTAACTGATTCCGAAGTCATCTAAGTACCTGTTCTATAACCATTATTTGAGTTTTTCAATTACTTCTCCGTTCTTTCCTCATACAGAATCTCTAACTTATGCTAATTTATACATTCCCCCAGCTCAATATGCTACCATGATAAAAAAATATGTCTGGAATATCACAGTTGTGATATTTAAACATACAGAAGATGTCAATTATTTGTTTATAGTGTTGTTAGTTTGATGATTTGTGTCCTCCTTCAAAAAATTTCCAACTCCTTTCTTCTGCCTAGCTTATACCATTTTTCAGAACGTTGAACCACAATGTAAAATATAACTTTAATCAATTTACATTTTGATATGATGAATATATCAAACTACTTCATTAACAGGGCCAAAAGAGCATTTAGTAAGGCATAATAGATGATGGACAGAATAGTGATGAGCGAAAGTGGAAAAAAAGTCCTAATCCGCTTTCATGTGTGCTGAATTTTAACTTCATTCGCATAGCTGTTTAGATGATTATAAAAGATATTTCTAATGGATTAATGTGACTAAAACTGATGAAATATTCTAAAATTAAGATTGAATTTCATGCAGGTTCTTACTTATAAACATGTTAAAAAAGTTCTCTTTATGCAGTCAAGCCAGTCCGGTTTATAAGAGTAAATCATTTTATAATAAAATTATTCTGCACTATTTTAATTTTGTTGTGACTTTATGTCCGGCTAGTTATCACGTGATTTATCCACCAATCAAAATACTACTTATACAATCTTAGCACTGTGCCAAATCAATGACGTTCGACCGATATGAGCAGCCTAGCGTCCTTATTGGTCCTATGTTCTCCTAGTCCTTCCACTTGAGTCTAGAACACAAATACCAGCTTCCACTATGCGAATCGAATCATTTATTTCAGAAATACTGGGATTATATATCAACCAAACAGACCTCAACGCACCATAAAATAGGAAATAACATTTGTACACAATAAAGCCAAAAAGTGGCTGTAAACGTGGGAGGCAGTAGTTAATAAACTGAACATAGCTTAAGAACAGTAAATCGTACAATAATAATATATAGGTAGAAATAAAGTTTATAACAAGGGGAATATAGATACACATAATCTAGTTACTGAATATTTATACCATGAGAATATATAAATAATATTAGTTCATAAATGATCCTCGGGAGTTACCTGTAATTTAATCTTCACCAGGATGTAACAAATTTCACCTTTGGTTTTCATTCTTATCAGTTGAACTGCTAAGATAAAAAATATGAAGATTATTCCAATCGGTGGCTTTATGCTGAAACTCAAGATATATTGTTGCAATGATGTGTTATGGTAGGAAGTATGTGTGATAACATTACAAAAAAAAATAATAAAACGATAATGAGCTGAGAATTTACTAACGATACGAGGCAATTTCATAATAAATGTTTTTATGCCCCGATAAGAATAATGAGTGGTAATTTTTAGGATCCATTTGTGGACCAATACTTTGAGTATATTTTTATCGTATAATTGTTAATTAACTACACTATTCATATTCATATCTCTCTTATCATAAACTTTATTTTAACATATGAGCTGTTATTATATGATTTTCCATTCTTGAATTATTCCCTGTCTATTAGTCACTACCACATTCATAGCCACATTTGGCTAATTCTTGTACAAATGTTGTTTCATATTTTATTGATACGATGTGGTCTGTCTGGTTAGTATATAAACCAAATTTGCTTGAAATAAATGATTCATATCACAAAGGCTGAAATTTGTATTCTGGACTTAACTGGCTGGGCTAGGAGGAAAGCAGGATCAATAAGGACTCTACACTGCTCTCACGTGTTTTATGCGTTCTTGGTCCGATCAATAATTCACTGCTCTCTAATTGGCGGTATCGTTACGTTATACATTAACAGGGAACACTGACACAAGTTATAACAAATATTGAAAGCACTCAACATCAACTTATTATGAACAAGTGTAAATGCAAAATATTTTACAAAATCCAAAGCCTAGATTAAAAGAATAATGTTGTAAATGATTTGCTAGTAATATATGTCAGATTCCATTAAGAACATGGAAAGAAATGAAAGCTATAAGAAAATTGATAAGTGGTCACATGATATAGGTGACAAGTTAATACTTATTCATCATGACCTTGACAACTGTTAAGTGATCAGTTAGTGATGTTGCTTGATATATTTGTTTGAAATTTGGCTATAACATTCACTATTAATAATTAATTAACTCATAGAAAGAAAGTAATTCCATTTTTTTGTCAATATAATTATAATAGAATAATGAAATTGGTCTAGCTCATATCCATTCCTAATAATAAGTTGAAATTTTTGAAAATGTAACTGTAGGTCTTTTTCCTTGAAAAAGCTTGAATCAGATTGCTAGGCAAAACGTTGGATTTACTTCAAATTCCTTCTCTGGGGTTTGACAAATACATTCTTCCTCTTTAATGTCTTATATTAAATCGGCTTCCAAATGCTGTGAAACTATTCAATCAAATTTTAGACGAAAGTTCTTATTTATTATTCTGCAACTAATCATATCTGTTATAGTTAACTGTAAATGAATTATGCAAAATTAAATATATACAATAGGTTTGTTGAAAACTTGGCAAGTTAGCAGCTATTTGAGAGAGAATACGAAGGGTTAAAGGTAGTAAACATATTATATGAGAAATATGTAGTGTATAATGCTCATTTTAGCTGGAAAAATAATGATACTACTTAAATAAGTGGTTTTATAATCACTAATAGGAAAATTTATAATTTAGATGAAGTTATGAAAAGTACAAATGTTAACAAAATAATTTCTCAATTAATTCTTATTTAATCATCTCTACAACATCATGATATCAATATGAATAATTCATTTCAAATTTAATATGGAAATACATTATAAAGCAAAACTGTCAGATATCATTACGTATGATGAAATATCAGACTGTAATGATAAACAAGATATGATTTATAGATATTTGTGCATCATTTAATTCTATTGAATATATAAAAGTTTTAATGCACTTTATTATGTGCAAGCTGGTTTTGCCTGTTAACTCCATCTGGAGCCTCTTTGCAGCTACTGCCGGTTCCAAGCCTGGATAAAGGAGGCGGGTTGCGTATTGGATTAGCGACCCTATCCCGTAGAAAACTAACTCGCTAAAAAATTGCTAACCAGAAAAATAAAATTCAAACCATTTAAATTCTGCCCTGGGAGTTAAAAGGTCTTCATTTAGAAGAATTATCACACCTCATGGTGAAATACGAATTCATTCAGAAGTCACGAGACTGATGCCCCTTCTAACAACTAGAGCAACCATTAATTTAAATATATATACAATATAGCAGACTGAAAGAGTCATCCAAATTACTGTATATACTGTATAAAACTAATTAAAATGACAAATGACAAATACTTCATAGCATTATGAACATATTAGAATTACTTTTTCATATAGTGATTCATTTTGTTCAAGGGAACAATCTAATAACCAACCATAACATTTCAATAGATAATTTTAAAAATGAAGTTAACCGATTAGTTAACAACTTACTTAACTATATATATATATACCTGATATTAACTATTATTCATCGATACACTTAATTATTATATTGTCTGTCTACCCATCTATATCTACCCATTGATACATTTAACATATCCAATCAAATAACCATGATAAAATTGCATAAAACCAGTAATCAGTATAGATGTATTACAATACTCTTGTATTGTATTACTTTATATTCCTTTTTTTTTAGAAAAAAATTCTTACATTAGTTTATTATTACGCACACACACACACACACAATTTTGTTTGTTTGTTTTGTTTTATAAAGTAACCGATTTCAAAAGATCCTCCATTTAGAGCATGTGAAAGTTCATTAATTAGTTAACTAATTAATCAATTATTGATTTATTGATTGATCAATTTATTTATTTATTTATTAAAAAGGAGAAAAAATTGTTTATTTCCAATGGAATATTAAATAAACAATTAATTAATTAATTATCAATCAAATAAATAATTATTCATATTCTATATATATATAAATTAATATAATAATGCGAGTAAGTATTTATTGAATAATTTAATTGTTTTTTTTATTTATTTATTATTTTTATTAAAAACTTACGAAATATGTTTTTTTTAATGTTACTTATATCAGATAAGTAGTGAATTGGATAATTATTACTTATTACTTATTTATTTACTTACTCCTGTTAACTGTCGTTGAGATGCATGAACCTCCCATCTGTATTCTCCATACAAATCTATCCTAGATAATTCTTTCAAATTGTTATCCATCCTTTTCATATCTGTTTCTATTTATCGACGTAATATGTTTTTTTTTGGCTTTTCTTTTTATCGTTTCCCTTCAGGATTTCAAGTTAGGGCTTGTCTCGTGATGTAGTTTGGTGATTTCTGTAATGTATATCCTATCCACTTCTAATGTCTTTTCCTAATTTCTTTTTTATATGGAATCTGATTTATCCTCTCCTACAGAAGGCTTATGCTGATGGTATCCGGCCAATGAATAATGAGTATACAACTTTAGCTATTCTAGAGTTACTAACGGTTCAAAGCACGGGTAAAGAAGGAGGGTTAGCTATGAGGTATGCAAACCCATCCCGCAGAAAAAATCGTGCTAAAAAAATGCCAACCAGATTAAACAAATAATAGACCTATGAACACACAAAATTAGTCATTCGTTAAAATATACTTACTTACTTACGCCTGTTACTCCTAATGGAGCATAGGCCGCCGACTAGCATTCTCCAACCCACTCTGTCATCGGCCTTCTTTTCTAGTCCCATCCAATTGTCGTTCATTCTTCTCATGTCTGTCTCCATTTCTCAAAGTTATGTGTTCCTTGGTCTTTTTCTACTCCTTCTTTGGGCTTGAGGATCCCATGTGATGGCTTGCCTTGTGACATAATTGGGTGCTTTCTTCAATGTGTGTACTATTCACTTCCAGAGCTTCTTCCAGATTTCTTCCTCCACTGGGATCTGGTTTGTTCTCTACTATAGTAGGTTGTTGCTGATAGTATCTGGCCAATTGATCGGAAGTATTTTGCGTAGACAACTGTTAATAAACACTTGTATCTTCAGGATGATTGCTTTCGTAATTCTCCAAGTCTCCACCCCATAAAGTAGAACTAAATGAAGACCTTCTGACTCCCAGGGCAGAATTTAAATGGTTTGAATAGTGTTTTCTGGTTAGCGTTTTTTAGCGAGTTAGTTTTCTACGGGATGGGGTCGCTAACCCCATGCCCAACCCGCCTCCTTTATCCGGGCTTGGGACCGGAATTTTTCCCCGGAAGGACTCCAGGGGTAGTTATTTAAATGTAAGTTAATGTTAAAATAGATTCATATTAAAAACATACACTAATTGAAGAATGGTAAAAAATAAATAAATACTAAATGAATATGCTGTTGTAATTTAAGATTTATCCATAATAAGTACATTCAAGTTTAAACAGAATAAAACCCAAAGTGTTGAAGCCATAATCAAAAAATGCTAAATCCTTAGTTTGTAAATACTCTAGTCGATAAATATCTATAAATTATAAATAAACCACATATCAATGTATTTTAACAAAAATTTATATGAATCTTTCAACATTCTTTCATGTTTTAGTGTAAAATGTGTAGTGTTGGTTACTATGTTAAGCCCATATAACTTATTCTAGTTTCTGGACAGGCCAATTTATCCATTCTTCTTGAGCCACATTTAGATCTTGTTAATTATTCACTTATCAACCTTGACTGTTTTTATATCAGCGTATGACTGTGTACACTTCTTGTCCTATTTATCACACGTCTGTAACCTATTTTCATCTGACTGTAAATATTAGTTAACGCTTGATTAAATCGAGTTATATCACATACCTCCCCTGAGCGTTATTTCTCTTCGCTCCATTTTATTCACTTCATCAAACTCATTTCTTATTCAGATCAGTGAGTGTACAAAATTTATATATTCAAAAATCCATTCTCGTATTCAACATATTTAATTCCGTTATTCATCAATACGATTAAGTCGATAAAATATACGAGGATAGCCGACATATTTATTTCGACAGTAATCATTCAGTAACGATTATTTGTCCAATCTCACTGGAGTCCGATCAAGAGCTACAAATGATATTTAGCAAAATCAAAAATTTTTCAATATCAACAAACTATACATTATACTATGAGTATTAAAATCACTAAACAAATGGAATTAAACAATAAAATTCTACAAAATGTAATCCTATCTCAAATTGTAATATTTACATTAAGTTCAAAAAGTACATCCTTATTAAATTTAGGGATTTAATATAACATTATGAACACTGTCGCTAATCCAGTTCTGATAACCACGTTTCCATTCATGTTTTTAATCCTTAACAACCACATAAAATTTAGCTACATGAGAAAATATTCGAATTTCAATAATGATATGTAGCGTTTCGAAATGAACAAGAACAATTATTCTAGTAGAATAGCATCTATTCATTTTATTTCGTTTGGTTCTTGTCAGCTGCTTACAACCTGTGATATTTAAAATCATAATTACATAATGGGTTTAAATCACTTACATGAAAAGGGTTTAGTTGGAAGTTATAGTGAAGGCACAGTATAATATTAGCAAGGGTGTAAATAAATTGAATAGATTGAATATTGTAAATATATACCTTATGTGAAAGAACATTCTACAACATTGATTGTGACAACAGTTCAAACGGCCAAAAACAAGTGTTTCCATAATGAGTAAACATTGATAGGAATATAGTGAGTAGAGCTCAGTTAATAAAATGCAATTAATAATTTAGAAGATAGTTGAAATAAAACTCACTAATGTAATAAATGCAAGAAAGAGTTTAAAGAAAAAGAAAAAACATTTTAAGATGCAGCAAAGGAATATTAATCACCAAGGCAAGGAAATATGAATGACCATCTTCTTTTGAACACATAAGTCAGGTTTTTGATGCCTGATAGCAAAGGCTTTAGCAAATTTGAGAAGATTGAAGTTTGGCTGCTTACTAATCATCTTAAAGGATTGTAAGGTATCGATCTTATGTCTTATATCAAGTAAATGTTTGGTGATTGCATTGATGATTTAATGGGTTATCGTTATAAAAAAAGAGCTTCAATATCAGCTAATTAATTACTACAAATGTAGTTACACTATGGAATATATAAAAGAGAATCATTTTCAGAATTATTCAATGAGGAGTCCCATAATAGGACGAAACGGCTGTCCAATGCTTCCAGGTTTTCCATGGTGGTCTAGCTTCAACTGACTCATGATTTTAACCATTGAAATAGACAATCGACAATTTATTGAAACTTATAAAAAAGAATGTTATTAAGGTGAACGAAGAAGTTACATAAATCTTCAAGATTAAAGAAATAAATTAAATGAGTGAAGATTTTGTCTTCAAACTATCTGAAATGACATAGAACTATGTCACTAAAATCCTCTTATCAGTTATTTTTATTATTCTTATAAACTAAGGTACACAGTATATGGTCCGACCAGAGCTTTACCCGTTGTTTAGAATCTCTTATTCGTTTAAACAATTGAACTTAACAAGACGATTGTAATTTGAGGATCATATGTCATACAAAATGCATATGATTGTTTGATTTACGAAATATTCAAATCTGTTATCCGTGTAACTTAATGCTTTAAATTCTTGGCTTCCATATTTTGACTATTTAGTGTATGCTAACCAGACAGAATAGTCAAAAGTGAGTTATTTTGAGTCCTCTATGTAAAATTATCTATAACAGTAGATTTCGATAATGCAATGAGAAGACGAAGGTTATCAGGATTATGTAATATATTTGCGTAATACATTTCAAACAATCTGATCACACATATATACTTGTTAAGAGCATTTCTAAATGAAAATTAAAAGGTCAACTAGACAGATTAAAGGTAAGCCATAATAAAGAGTAGAGCTGTTTGTTAATACTGATTCATGGACTTTTTCATTGGTTTAATAAACCTATATTGAATTATCTTATTTTCTACGTGCATATTCATAGTTATGTGTAGTTTATGCGTAGTATTTTCCTTGCATATTACCTTCTATGAATAAGCGAAGTTTCTATTTACAATTCAACCATTGGTCTACAATATAAATTTAGTTCTATTAAATATTCCACTGCTTAGTCACTTTTCAGTTCGCTACTAGCATCTCGTAAATGTTATTATTATTATTATTATTATTATTATTATTATTATTATTATTATTATTATTATTAGTTTTATTCATTATTATAATTTTTGGTACAATATAAAATTCTCAGCACAAAGTATTTCAGCAAGTTTCCATTTCTTATTTCTTGATCCTCCATGACGATAATAATTGAATGATCACCAATTAGATGGTAGCAGTCCAGTAAATCAAAATCTAAATAATGTATATTGTTTTCGGTGTATATTTCCAACAACCGCAATGACTCACATTGTGCTCTTTCCTAACTTGTACAGAGAAATGTCGTAAACTTTTAGAAAACGCACCTAAATAGCTTATGCACTTAATTGATATAATGATCTGTTAAAACAAAAACAAGACAGATAACTTGTTTAAATATCTAGACTATAGGGACAGGTAGCCCAGATACTCGAGCAGGCTACTTATAAGATCGAGAAAAGGCCCTAGTACGGACGAGGGTGGATAGAGTCAGCTCCCCATCTCCAAATGATCTCAAATGGCCACCTGTATACAGTCACTGCAAGGGAAGTTCTACTCACTGCCATGTCGAGGCGGGGATGTTGTTTACAAAATTTAGAGGACGAAAAGTGAATATTCGGCCCTTTAACAGGGTTAGTGGATGTGTAGGATCCATATAGGAGAGTTGCGAAACCCTGATTCCAAACCAGTCATGCACATAGGCTTCAAGATCCTGAGAGAACAAATGGCATATGAACCAATTATTGGTCACCGGCTACCATGAGACTACATCTCCAGACGTTGTTCCACTGCCTTGTGGATCAGACCTTTAGGTCGATAACTCCGGATGTGGCACCCTCTGGAAACCAGCTGCTTTGGTATGGATACCCGGGCAGC